ATATATATATATATATATATATATATATATATATATCAGTGGCGGATTGAGGTTTAATGTCGCGAGGGGGGGGGGGGGAAGGCCAAGTCAATGAATAGGGGCGACCGGGGTTGTCTTCAGTAATTTGATTATAATATTTTTTTTTTTGATTGTTTTAGGGGGCGCCGTTAGACCGTTCTAGGGGGGCGTAGGAGGGCAGCTCGCCCCCTATCTATACATATATATATATATATATATATATATATATATATATATATATGTATGTATATATATATATATATATATATATATATATATATATATATATATATATATATATATATCGAACCTTACCTACCAACCACAAATAATCTCAAGTCAAAATCAACAAAAAAAGCAACGTAAACGCAATATTATTTGGTATAACCCTCCGTTCAGCTTAAACGTCAAAACAAAAATAGGAAACCGTTTTCTAGCCCTTATTGACTTACATTTTCCAGCCGGTCACAAGCTACATAAAATATTCAACCGAAATTCTGTTAAGATTAGCTACAGTTGCATGCCTAACCTAAAATCTATCATAAATTCGCATAATTCCAAAATTTTACACAGCAACAATCAATTAAAAACCAACCAATGTAACTGCGTAGATAAAGCATTTTGCCCTTTGAACAATCAATGTTTATCTAACAATATTGTCTATCAAGCAACCGTAGGTTCCAGTCATCATGATCGTAATAAAAAAGTATATTTCGGCATTAGTAATACACCATTTAAACTAAAATACGCAAACCATCTCAAATCATTTGCATCAATTAAATATAGAAATGACACAGAACTATCTAAGGAAATATGGAGTTTAAAAGACCAAAACATAAAGCCTATTAAAGAATGGAAAATTGTCAAACGTTGTAAACCTTACAATCTAGCAACAAAAATATGCCACCTTTGTCTCTACGAAAAATATGTAATTTTATCGCATAATGGAAAAAATCTACTAAATAAAAAAAAACGAAATCGTATCTCAGTGTCGGCATTCAAAAAAGTTCCTATTATTTTTATTTGACACAGGGGACTAATAAACTATAACGGCTTTTTGTTTTTTGATGTAGATTTGTTTATAACGTCAGATGTCATTCTACAGTAATTTTTACGTTTTTGTAACGGTTTGTTTACGTTTTTTGTTTGTATTAAGGTGGTCCTATACTAATAAAACCAAAATTTTAAAAATGCATTCATATTTTATGATTTTCATATAAGAAATAGTATTTTGAATTTAAAGCACAGTAAAGAAAAAAAAAATTAAAAAAATTTTTTTTTGGTCAAACTTTTGGGTCCATGGACCTTAAATATGGACTACGCGCTGCGATAAGCAGCCTGTAAACTAATAATGGTATGATCATGAAATTTTCACAGCTTTTTAATATCAGATGATTACACTCACCCTGCCAAAATCAAACATTTTAACAAACTATTGAAGCTTTTGTAAGAAAACCAGTTTAAGGCCTAAAAAAAGCCCCGAAAAGGCTTAGAACCTAGACCTTATTTTTAGAACCAGTTAACTAACATTAATTCTTTTGGTAAGGTGAATGTGCATATATATAATAAACAACTCCTGAAAAATTCAACACAATCAAACAAACCAATCTCAAGATATTTATCGCAGCGTGCAAAAAACTCATATATTGAGAAAAACAATAATAAAGATTTTTAATATAAAAAAAAAAAAATTAATATATAAAAAGGTCAAAAAATTATTGAAAACAAAACGACTTGAGCATTACTAAAAACACAGAAAAAAGAAAAATGTGAAAATTCTAATAATTGAAAAAAATTTAACCAAAATAGAATTATTCAATCAATGAAAAAAAGCTTGAATATAAAAAGATAACAAACAATAACTACGTTAATAAATACAATAACTGCCTTAACATAAATTTAATTAAAAAAGTAACAAAAAACTATTATCTAAAAAACTCCTGCTTCATAAGATACACCTTCACTTTCATTTACTATATCTGTAAAACCTTTTCGCTCTGCACGAAGCAGCTTTCTTTTTTGTTTTATTGTGTTAAGCAACTTTTTTTCCATCATCTTTATTCTTTCTTGGTCTATTTTGGTTTAGTACTGAGGCAAATGTACCTGGTGTAACATTTAAATACTCAAATATGTTTAATATACCTTTTGACTATAGATTTCATAAAACAATCTACAATTCCAGAAACTTCCATAGATTTAACAGAACCTTCGTGATTATTTAAGCAATCATGGGTTTCCAAAAAATTTTCATAAAGTTTTGGATCACTATCTTTTTTTGATTTCCATGATGTACAGGCATTGCATATTTTTGAAATAACTCATTAGTCAACACATTTCTCTGAGTCACTAGCAATAACAGTAACAACACCATTAAGTGAGGAATGACCCCTTTTTTGCCAAGTTCCATTACAGGAAACAACAACATCAGCTATTACATTAATATCAAAATCATTTGGTTGGATATCATTGTTAAGAAATCAAAGTTCATTTGCTGCATTTTTCATTTTCACATCAGCTACAATTTAATATATGATTTGAATTTTATCTTGAACATCATTAAATGCTTTTATGTTCATTGGAGGAGGTAAGTTTATGAAACCACAAAATTTTTCCAAACCAGAATGACTTTTTCCTATCTCTCTTATTGCAACAAAAAATCTAAAATTTATTTCAAATAGTGACATTCCTGGACCTTGCTTTTCAATCTCTTTGCTAGAATAAAAAGACTGTTTCCAATCGCATGAAGGTGTTGCACAAGAAATGTTTAAAAACAATGCCAAGCCTTTCTTTTTTGATAAATCAGTTGAGATTTTAATTGAATTGTTATGGCATTAAGAACAATGTCCAATCAAAGTAACAATTGATTTTAAAATGTCTGTGTCAATAAGTATAAAGCATGAAAGCAATTTATTTGAATCATTAATTTTTGCATTACTATTTTTACTGCTATGTGATAACTTTTTTGAAGATGTTGATGTCAAGATTTTTGATTGAGTTAAGTTAGTGATTTCCGATTGAGAAGTTAAATTAATGTTAATTGTTGATGCTGAGGAAAATTGATTTCCTTTAAAGTATTTTTTTTTGAAAATCCTGTTACCACCTGCTTTCTTTCTTAAACTTGAATCACATTTAATTTTTCCCATATTAAAAACAAGCACAGAGCAAATAAAGTTTAACACGAGGCTGATAGTTTTTCTATAAGTAATATATGTAAACATAGTAATTGTACTTAAAGGTCATGGCTTATTTAGAAAAATAAACATGAAACAGTTACTGGCATCAGTGTCAAAAACTTATAGTAAATGGCGCAACACTCTAAAACACCTATTTTATAATATAAACAACCCGTTGCTAAGACCGTTGCTAAGAAAATTATTTAACTTCACTAAGAAACTTGCTATTTTAGAGCATTTTTAAATTTACTCACTATGATGATCTATATATATTTGGAATAAAGAGTGTTTGGGCTTCAAGAATATGACATTTTTGAAAAATCGATTTTTTTGATTTTTTTTAGTATAGGACCACCTTAACGGCTGATGATTGCCTTCGGGCATGAAACTTTAAGTCCCGCTAATCAGTTGTTTTTATTCATCTAAATATAATTATATATATATATATATATATATATATATATATATATATATATATATATATATATATATATATATATATATATATATATATATATATATATATATATATATATATATATATATATATATATATATAATTATATTTAGATGAATAAAAACAACTGATTAGTTGATATATATATATATATATATATATATATATATATATATATATATATATATATATATATATATATATATATATATATATATATATATATATATATATATATATATATATATATATATATATATATATACATTTATACTTATGCACATACATATATAAACAATTTTTGTATAAGGACGACACAAAAGCTGTACATAAATGTAAAGATTCTTAAAAAAAAAAGTATAAAATTAAAAATATATGCAAGAGAGAGTATTTTTTAATAAGACTGTTAACAGTGATATATTGCTTTTATTGATGTTATTATTCTAGTAGCTATCTAAATAGTGTTTTTTTAATTTATTGAGAAAAATATATCGAGAAATTGAGTTTTCAGTTTTAAAATAATGGGGGAGATTGTTCCAAGCATTGGTGCACTGATGTTTAATTTATTCTCTGCCAAATTTTATTGTCCTACTATGTTCTACAAAAATATTGTTGCATGAAGAGGATCTTAGGAAGTGAGAATGTTTGTTACATATTTGAAGTTCTTGAAGAAAATCGGAAGTTTGTAATGAAGATAATCCTATACAAATAAGCAATTTAAAAAAGAAATATTGTCGTTCAGCCTAAAAATTTTTGATAATTTATAGCAGAGAAACATTGTCAAATAGGTAATTTTGAAAGTGAATAATTTTAAGGGCTTTGTTTTGAAGTGAATTTGGTTGGTTTAAGGGACTTTTTTTTATCATAAATCTGACACACATATCTAAGGTGCGATCCAAATATGACATGATAAATACTCATAAGTATTTCAAAATTTACGAAATGTCTGATTTTAGCTAACATTCCAACTGATCGATTTAGCTTAGTCTGTAAGTAAGTTTGATGATACTTAAAAGAAAGACTCTCATCCAGCCAAACTCTAAGGTACTTCACAGTTTTTTACGAAGTTAATATTTTTGTATTAATGTTGAAAGTATTCAACATTAATATTGCAGTTTGAAAAAAAAGATTTTAAAAAGTAATATTAAAAGTAATATTTAAATATATATATATTTTTGAAATTAAAATGAGTTTCCAAGATTAAATTTAAGTTTTCGATATTATTTTAGCTATTCGATAGTTTTCGAAAGCTTTTACAAAATTCGAAAAAAAAGTTTTTTATAGATAACGTTTTAATCGAAAATTTTTGAATATTTTTGAATATTGTGTTTTCGAAAATGAACCCTATGATTAAACACTTAAGCTACGCCACTGAATGCAGATCTATAAATCAGGACTCAGTAGATTCAAAACAACTTACTACATGCGGGAAAAATGGCAGGGTTTGAGGATCTGTTTGACGGAAATAGCGATGAGAAGATTACTATTAACAAAACTTATGCTAAAAAATATAAAAAGTTTAAAGAATGTCAAGAACTTGATAAGTGTATGTATTTAGTCTAGATCTTTTGGTTTAATATGAAATGAAAAAAGCAAATTAACATTTTCCAAAATTGATGTCAACTCTATAAAATTGACTCAAAAAACATTTTAAAACTTGATAGTTATAATTTCTTTTATAATTTGATAAATATACCTTTTTTTAAAATTTATTTTTCTTTAAATTCAGGGATGTTTTATATACTATATAGATTGATTTTTTTACTTCCAATCAAATACACTAACCTAAGGTTTTGCCGTCATTTAAAAAAAATTCTATTAGAATATCTTATCAAACAAGATAATTTTCTATGAATTTTTATTTATTTTTGATTCTTGCAATAAAATTGGGAACAAAGATCTTACATAATGTATTTTGGAATCAAGAGAATAATAGCATTAGTGCAAGATTTTATATTACAGAATTCGTTGATATATTTATTAAAAAAAACCCCTTTTTATTTTAGGTATTTTAAATATGTTTTAATCTTGCATAACTGACATTAGTGATGAAAGTCATTCATACTAGTCATATAATATCAGAACAATAAATTAAGTATGGTCATTGACATAAGTACTTGCGATTCAAATACAATGTATGAATATTTAAAGGCCAGTACTAAAGCTTCATATTAGAAGTTGAGGAAGTTATTATTATCAATGTACCAAATATAAATAGAAAAGTTCATCAAGATTATGAAAAAATTGCTGAGGCAACAAATGCAGCTTTTATGTTTCATGTTTTTTGCTATTTTATGGACTAAGTGTTCCATTCTAGTTCACTAAGTGACATAGTGAACTAGAGTGTTTCAAGGATCACAATAAAGGTTGTGTAAAAATTGCTGCTGAGTACTGGAGGTCTTTATCAAAAAGTTAGCAGCCGGTTAGGGTTAACCAGAACAAAACGTCAGCTTTGATCAATTAACTGATTAGATAAACTTTTTATTTCTATAAGTATAAAAGGTTTTGAAGAAGTTAGTGTGGCAATCATAGTTTCATCCTGATGCTTATATTGTATTGCTCTAAAACTATTTTTCATTTTATTGCGAAAAAGTTGAAGATTTCTATATCAAATCCATTGCAAAGTTAGCATCTCCTAAGGTTGCATCTCTTTATTGTGCTCACCACTTTTTTACTCTGGATTCTATTTTTTATGTATGTATGTATGTATGTATGTATGTTTGAATGTATGTATGATAATTAAATCACTTTAATTACATTCTTAGAGGAAACAACACATTTATATACCACATTTTTTCGATTCTGTTATCAGAATTGAATATATTGCCCCTGCCCAAGCCTTCGTAACACTAAATGGCCATAAACCAAATTTTCAAAACAAACTTCCTTGTAGGTTATTGGTTCCATCAAAAAGTGAGATTAGACATGTAAGCAAAATTAAATTGGACAAAATTAATAATATTCTTAGAAATAAATTAAATTTGCAACAGTGAAAAAATACCACTGATGTAATAAATTGGTTCTCCATAATCGAAAATAAAAATGATTGTACATTTATTCAATTTGACATTAATGATTTTTACTCTTCAATATCTGCAGATATTGAAGAGTAAAAAAATTGAATTTGAAAAAAGCCACACAGTTATTCCTGAAGAAACAATCCGTATAATAAAACATGTAAAAAATGTAATTTGGTTCAACCCCCCATTTAGCAAAAATGTTTCCATTAACATAGGTAAAGTGTTTTTAAAATTGGTCAATAAGCATTTCCCTCCCTCTAATAAATTACATAAAATTTTTAATGGAAATGCAATTAAAGTTAGTTACAGTTGCACAAAAAATATGGAAAGAATTATAAAAGGTCACAATAATGGTTTGTTAAATAAAAAAGAAATGCTAAATGAAAAAACTACAGAAAATTGTAATTGTAAACAAAAAATAATTTTCCATTGATTGGAAGTTGTTTATTAAAAAATGTGGTATATAAATGTGTTGTTTCCTCTAGAATGTACCCTATAAACAATATATTGGCATAACAGAGGGTGAATGGAAAAAACATTTTGCCCATCACAAGCAATCTTTTAAAAATAAAATGTGTTCAAAAGACACCATACTGTCAAAATATATATGGGAACTAAAAGATAAAAATATTGATGATATTATATGAATTGATTCACCCTTAATTCAGCGCCTGCATACAACAATATTTCCAAAAAATGCATATTATGTTTACGAAAAAATTTGAAATAATTACACATGCAAACCAAGAATGTTTATTAAACAAAAAATTGGAATTGATTTCTAAATGCAGGCACGAAAATAAGTTTCTCCTAAAAAACTATATAAATAAGTGAGCTTAAATAATAGTTACATTAATTCCTCCTTTTGAATATATTTAAAAAAAAAGCGCATAAGTAATCATTTCTAATAATTTTTTTTTATAATAGTGTCAGCAAATTCCACAAATGTGTGAAAATTTACAGTAATTAAAACATTTGCAACTTCCTGTAATTTTTGGTATAAAATGAAATTTTATTAATTTGATCATTCATTTCTGATAAGTCTTTATTGGCGAAAAACGAAATGTAAAATGAATATATATATATATATATATATATATATATATATATATATATATATATATATATATATATATATATATATATTAGGGTGTCCCAAAAAACAACTTTTTTAAAAATAATCTGCTCTCAACCCCTAAATGTGTTCTATCTAATACAAAAACACTAAGTTTAAATTTTTTTTCAATAAAAAATAATTTAAAGGGTCCCTCAAGACCCTCGAATATTTAATGGGTCCCTGATATTTTCAAAAAAAAAGTTCTTAAAAATTATGTCAACCTGGTACTCAAATGAACCGAAATTATATAAAAATTTCAAAAATAATGTTCATTTCGGAA